AGATAATCAATAACTTAAAATACATCAATCTCACAAGTAAGTGAAAGTCTCATATCACAAAGATGAGAGAGTGTAGTTTTAGGGTTATGTGATAAAAGGATAATTAGGATATTTAAGAAATATTATTAAACATGTACCCGCGAGTATGAATATCATCATACCGGCCCCCGCCCTGTTTATAATCGGGTAAAAAATTATCCATCCTCATTATCTGCGGCTACCCAATTAGCCTATGCACTACTAGAAAAATTAAAATTTGTGACGAAAATTTGTGACGGATAAAATGTCGTCACTAATAGTGACAAATTTTGTGACGAAAATTTTATTTTTGTGACGGACTACTTTTTTTCAGAGTTTGTGACGGATTTTGTGACGGAAAAATTTTCGTCTCTAACAATTCCGTCACAAACGGGGTCACTAATAAAAAAAAACATTTGTGACGGATTTAGTGACGGATTTTGATTCCTCTCTAAATATTTTGTCACAAAAATCCGTCACAAAATTTAATCAATAATTTTGTGACGGATTCTGTGACGAAAATTTTTTAAAAATTGTATTCCGTTACAAAGGCCCGTTCTGGCACGTCTAGAACGACCCGTTCTAAAATCAAAATGGCCCGTTCTAGAGTTGAATTTAACTCACAATGATAATTTTGGAACGGCCCGTTCCAGTCCAAGATTCATAGGCCTATTTAGTAGTTTAGAACGGCTCATTCCAGTTTGGGAACGGCCCGTTCTGGGCTACTAAATCACCCATGACCATCTAAAATACTTACTACGTTACAAAAGGTAGTTTATTTCCATCAATAATATCGTAAAAAAATTATTAAAAATATCCTTTGAATTTAATGATTTAAATAGTGATTTCATTTAATAACATTATATCAAATTAAAAAAATATTTTTTTCTACTTATAAATGTTACTTATATTGTTTATAGATCAATGAATACATCCACTTGCATGAAAAAATAAAAAAAATGATTAATACATGTTAAAGTAGATTTATATTTCTTATAATTATAATTAAAAAAGAATATTTATTTATTTCTTATATAAACAACTCGAGAAAATAATTGTAACGACCCACCCTAATTATTACACTTATAAATCATCTACTACAAGCAATGTAATGACTAACATGTTTAAGACTATATATTAGTAATATCTAGATATGTACACTATAACATGTATATAAATATAAATATAACTAAAAACAACTCTACAAGTAAAATAGTATATACAATATATGTACAATCATCCAATAAAACACGGTATAATTCTTAAGTTGTCGGTCAAACAACATTTATACAAACCAACAAAAGTAGTCAAAAACTACATCACCAACAAAATATGGCCCAGTAATAATTCCAAAAGTCCACTCCAGCTAACACTGCCTTGCTCCCATAAAGATCATGATCATCTCAATTCAAACCATATGAAAAACATATAAGAATAAACTAGATTTCAAAAAGAATACAAGTATAGAAATGAAATATCTATACTACCCACCAACATGCAAACCATACAATCAATAACTCATGGCTCATATCATACAACAATCAATAAAACACCAACATGTTTGAAAGCTAAACACCCAAGCAATTCAAACAGTCACCACAATCATATCATATTACAAAGTATTCATTCAGTGCATATGAACAAGAATCAACTCACACTACATTACATGCACACACCACAACTAATGCATCGCTGCACATTCACTTATGGAAAATCTCCTAACACACTTAATCATTCTAAGTGGTTTGATCTTACTGAATCAACCTAATCGTTTTCACACCCAATGCACCCTCTAGATCAACAACTAAAATGGGATACTAATCCTTCTTCTGATTTCTCGAATGTCATCACTTACACTAGAAAAATTTGATTCAACCATCATGATTAGTATAGTTGAGTATAGGCGTACCACAACCTTTGTATGCATTACAAGTCACATATGAAATTAGTCCACTTACTATCCTTAAGGAATCACACAACTTTTTTAGTAATTAGTTAAAAGTTATAGCCATTGACTTCATACTTTACTCTAACATTGATTAAGAACCTATAGGAGACTCAACAAAGTCCACTCCAAGAGTTTCACACTTACTCAAGGCAAGGAGTTCTTTACCTTATCCACACTTGATGCCACTCAACCTGCGCTTGACATGGCTGAGGTAGGGAAACCCTAGGACCTCACACCTGGTGCGACAAAATCCCATGCTCGACCTCATGCCAACATGAGATGATTCTCTTTCCTCATGCTTGACGCCACTCCTTTGGCACCAAGTGCAATCTAGACAGAGATAATTCCCCTACCTTATATCCAACGCCATTCAAATCACACCCAGTGTCACTTCAATCTAATACAACAACTTTTTAGTATAATTTACATGTAATTCATTTATCAAACAATCTGACAAAAACTTTTGAGATTTCACATGATTTTTTCCCCTTCTATTTCTATTCTCTCTTTTTTTTTTTTCTATTAAATAAATTCTCTTGCCATTCTTGTTTTTCTCATATTTTTTTTCTCTCTCTTTTTTTATTCTTTATCTCATTTTCTCATTTTCTCAATTATCTCTTCCTATTATCTTCTTATTTTTGTTTTCTTCTCATATTTTCTCTCTCTCCTTCTCTATCACCTTTCTTACTTTTTTTTTTCTCTCTCTCTTCTTTGTCTCTTTTCTCTTACTCTTTTTATTCATCTCTCCTATTTATCTCTTCTTCTTCTCCTCCTATTTTTTTAATCTATCAATTGATGTATAATTTATCAATATTTTATTTTTAATTATTAAATATTTAAAATAATTTTTGTATTATTAAATATTATCTATGGTTAAATTTTTAAAATTGTTAAAATTTAACTATTTATTGTTAATAAAATTTAACATTAAAATATAAAACTTTGAAACATATATTAAAAAGACTTTGCAGGTCATAGTAATGACCCTTAAAATAAAAATGAAGTTTTCAATTTAAGTCATGCATGCTTAAGAGGATATTTAGTATTTTTAAATCACGCTTCACAATTTTTAAGTCAAAGTCTCTATTTCTATTAAAGACGCAAGCTAAACTTGTATTAACATGTAGTACTACATAACTTTATTGGCAAAAAATGTCGTTTTAATGAATTTTCAATTGAATTAGTGGATGAATCTTCATTTTTAATAATATCAGTTAATAAATACCATAATTTTAAATATATTGTTTATACTCAAGTGCTTGAAAGAGGATATGTCAATACATGAAAAATTACAATAAATTTAAATATATGAAGAAATGTTAGTTAAGAAGATATTAAAGTTAATTATTTATCAAAAGATAGAGATAATTATTTGTCAAAAGATAAAAAAAATTTGTGTTAATTTTAGTTTTCTTTATTATTTATGTTATATTTTTTTTATTAAATCTTGTAGTATTACAAATCTATATTTTCTTGTAAAATTCATAAAATCTTTTAAAATCTTATAACGTAAATTCATCAAAATCCATTAAAATTTGAATTATAAAGTCTTGATTAAAATCTAAAATTTAAAAGTCTTTAAAAAAATCTTAAAAATCATGACATTTTTGTAAAAACTTAAATCCATTAAAATTCATAAGACTTTTTTTACGTAAAAATTATCTTTCAAAATCCTAAATATAAATGAAAAAAAAAATTAATTAATACCATATATAAAAGTTGCAATGACATTTATTTTGATATAATATTTTTTTGTTACACAATATTACGGGATGGATTAAGTAATAAATAAATTTTTGATAATTTTTTATTTTGTGACTAAATTTTTTGAGACAGTTGTTAATTTCTATTTATTATTTATTTTAGAGAAAAAATATAATTTAATTTGTGATATTTGCATAGTTGGGGATGCTATTAATTTTATTTCTCATTTACATAATTTTCTTTACACATATCAATAGAAAGACAGATAAAACAACACCATAGAGAAAATTAGTCCCTCGAAAGTCAGAATATGGTAAACCACGGTTTAAGATATCCTGCAGTTCAATGAACTGCATGAATCTCAGATATCAATTAATAAAATTTTGATAAAATTATAATAAATTTGTGTTTGAAAAAATCATATTTAATATCCATATGTATTTCAAACATAATTTCTTTTGAGGTGGTTATTATCTTAACATATGAATTTTTTTTTCATATGAATAGATGAATAGATGTTCCCGGTTTTTCATTTAATACTTTTTCCCCTAATTTATTTTTACATAAAGTGCTGAAATCTGAATTGATTGCTGCCTATTTGTCTGCACTTATGATGACGATTTTGTATTTATTGAGAAAGTAAAATTATTTTAACAAAACTATATAAAAATGATTTATTTATTATTATTATTTTTAATATGAGGGTAAAATTCTTAATATGAATGGAAAAGGTATACAAGTATAAAAATAAAAATAAAAAAGAAATATAAAGAACAATGAACATTTGTCTAGAGTTAATATTTTTTAATAAATGTAAGACAAAATTAGAAAATATCTGTTACATAAAGAAATATAAAAAAATCATTTAATGCATGTTTCTAAAATAATTAAAAATATTAATATATTTTATAAATTTTTTTACATCTTTTTCATTGTTTCCTTTTTGGTATATAAGATTCCAAATAAAGTGAAAATGATTGAAGGTAGGAAGAAAAAAAATAAAAATAAAAAAGGCACACAAGTGATCATCGACTAAATAATAGATAAATTGGCAAGAACCAATAAGAAGATGACAAATTTAGTTTGATGAAGTTGAATAATGTACTTGGTCCTGAAAAATTGTGATGGCAAAGACGGCACATCAACGGTTCATGGGTGGTGTTGAGAGGAGGAACAATTGAACAATTGAAGGTCCAAACATGTTGTAAAACAAAAATGTATCTGCCACACAGCATGGTGCCACGTGGCAAAGAATCAACGGGTAGCTTTTCTCAAACACTGTCCATTTTGTCTTTAGCCTCAGCCTATGTGCATGCCTACCTCTAATTTGCTTATAAGTTATTGACATATAAAGAGAGAGTGTTAGAGAGAGAAGCTATCAACTTATTAGCAACAAGGAGAGGCCAGAATTGCTCTCAAATCCTCAAAAAGGTTAAAACTCAGATGACCCTTATCCTATCTTCTTCAAAACAATTTACAATATATCACTCTCTCTTCTCTTGAGACATAAATTTCTTTCTTCTCACACATGTATACTCTTTTCTTTCATTCCCTCAACTTTATCAGCCACTCAGTGATTGTTTTTCCCTTCTAATATCTCATTCAGCAATCATATTTGGGATTGTTGATGAATTTACCCCAATAGGCGTTGTTAACTTTGTGTCATAAATTGCCTTTTGTTCTGTGGCAGTGCCAAAAATGCCCCCAAGATCAGGAAAAGGGAAATCAAACAAAGCAAAGGCAGAGAAGAAGAAAAAGGAAGAGAAAGGTCACACTCTTTTTTCACTTTTGGATACATAACATCCCTGTAATATCATCGGATATTGATGTGTATATATCCTCTTTTGTTCTGTGTTTTTAGCGGCAACAGCACCTTCTCTTGTTGACATCACTGTGGTCACTCCATATGACACAGAGGTTGTCTTAAAGGTACATGATTTATTTCACATTCTCAAGAAATTGTTGTGGTTTGTCATTTTTTGTTTGATATCATCACTAACCATTTGTGTGATGAAAATTTTCCAAAGGGTATCTCTACCGATAAGATACTGGATGTGAGAAAATTGTTGGCTGTCAAGGTGGAGACATGCCATTTCACAAACTATTCTTTATCTCATGAGGTTGCTATTTTTTTAGTAATTTTTCATTATTGTTGGATTAATATTTTATTCCATATGTGCCAACAACCATGCAGTTTTCTTTATTTTGGGCTTACTCACATCTACTCTACTGATTCAATGATGTTTCTTCTATAGGCCAAAGGGGAGAGATTAAGTGATAGAGTGGAGGTTGTTACCCTTAAGCCATGTCTTCTAAGAATGGTTGAAGGTAGGTGCACTTAGCATACTAGTCATTCACCATCAACTACCACTTCTGTATCATTTCTGTCGCTTTTGCATGCCTAATTAATTCAATCTTCGGTTTCTAGGCATATAATTTTGCGACTTTAATACAATTTAATGTATTTTAATGAAGGGGGTAGAAACTTTCCAAGTGTTAGGCACAAATTGTGCATTGAAGATAAATAATAAAGTCTAAATTAAATTTCTAATTTATTTTAATTAAGGTTGATGGGATGGCTTACATGGTGAATATAAATAATGAAGGTAGTGGAGTCTCAAGTAATAATCGGTTTTTACCATTCAAGTTTGCAAATGGTAGTGGAGTCTCATCCTAATTGTAAACAACATATTAATATTAACATAATTATTTTTAATTAATTATACTATAAATTTAAGTTTTATTTTAAGTATATCTTTTACTTTAATGTTAGTTATAAATAGTGCATAAAAAATAGAATTAACAATAAATGAAAGATATAAAAGAAAATTAATCTTGAATAATTTTAAATTTTAATTATTGTTGTTTATATTTAAAATTTTAAAAAAAAATCTAATTCATTATTTACAATTAGAAGCAAGTAGTGTAATATTTTAATGAAACATTTGGTAAGTACAAGGTATGTAGTTTTCAAGTGAACATGTTTTATAGTAATTGTCTAGATTTTTGACTTTAGATGGGAGGACCAATGCATTTTTCTATGGAATACCAACATTATGTTCATGTTATATTAAATTTTGTTTATAATCAGTAATGTCAAAGTCATTGTTTGAATAAGTAAAATAGTGGAGTATATGCGAACATTGTCCCTCTACAAACCACGTGATATATTAATTTCTTATTTCATGTATGGTTCCATAAAGTGAAAAGATTTAATTTTACTTTAGATATTTGTCTTCAACATGTGGAGGTAGCATGACATAAAAGTCACTGTTGGATGCTCTTTATTGCTTTCTATATCTGAGGAGACATTGCCCCTTAGAATATATAATTTCTTAATACTTCTTAAAATACATTTTATAATAAAAATATATAATTTTTTGGCGAGCCTCAAGTATTTATGTTATTGTTGAAATACTTTGAAAAAAGAGAGTAATTTTTAATGTTCAAATTCAAACCTGCTAGTAAATTAATTATATATTTGAAAAAAAACCTTTCAATGTGGTTTTTATTTGTTTTCCCAATTGGTTATATATTTATTGTGTTTAATGTAAGCGAAAACTACAACGCATTATTAAAAAAATCTATACACTTATTGTTGTTGTTGAAAAATATGTTGTTGTCCTTGTCATAAACGGCGATTATTTATGTTTTGTGATACACGTTTAATATTCGCCGAGAATTCTTGTTGTCATTTATTCAAGTTGCATTTCGGTGGAAAACCAAGCCCCACTTTTCTTCTTCATCGCCACCTCACATTTACATTTTTTTTTTTTTAGTTTATAAGAATATAATAATTTTTTAAGAAAATAAGAGGGATTTAAAAAGATTAATTATTTTTTAAATTAGGCTGGAACTAGCATGTTAAAGTAAAGCTGGTGTAAAAAGTAACATTTTTTGTCTTTTAAAATATTTCAAAATATATTAGGCGTTGAAAATTCATTACATTAAAAAAATCATAGTGTAACATTAGTTTTTTCTCCCAATATCGTTATCACTGGTGTGGTTCACACAATTTATATTTTAGGGGAATGCCGGAATGAAATTGTTTTATTTATTATATTTATATATTTGTTTGAGCCAATGTGTTACACAGGATTATATATTTATATTTATGTATCGGTGTCACTCGTGTGAACGTGTGATTCATGCAATTTATATTTATGGGGAATAAGATTGTTTTATTTATTATTATTATTATTATTATTATATTTGATTGGGCCAATGTGTTACAGAGGATTACGCAGAGGAAGCCCAAGCAATTGCGCACGTGCGGAGGCTCTTGGACATTGTGGCCTGCACAACAAGGTTCGGTAGGCCCAAACGTGGATCACCAAACCCAGAAACAAAGCCCAAGAAGAACGGTAAGGCCCAACATCAGAGCAAGACGGGCTCGAGTGTGAGCCCACCGGAGACACCGAATGGGGAATCCCGGGTGGGGTCACCGTCGTCGTCGGAGCCTCCGTCGCCGATCTCCGACAACGTGGGGATGAAGGCGATTCACACGACGCCGAAGCTCTCCGATTTCTACGAGTTCTTCTCTTTCTCTAACCTCTCTCCCCCCATTTTACGTGGGTACCCTCTTTCTCTTTGATTTTCTTCCGTTTTCGCACAAGCTCAGATTTTGGCAACAAGGGGTGTTTTTTTTTTTCTTTTGCCTTTTGCAGATTTGAAGAGGTGTGAAGTGAAGGATGAAGAAGATAAGCGCAAAGGGGGTTTCTTTCAGCTTCAGGTTTTGAGCGTTGTTAATTAATTAATGAACAAATTTTATTTACTTTAGTTGTGTTAAAAATCCTAAATTATTGGTGGTGGTGGATGAAGGTTAAAATATGCAATGGAAAGGTGATAGAAGTGGTTGGTTCAGAGAAAGGGTTCTACACTGTAGGGAAGCAGTCTCTGCGCAGCCACACTTTGGTTGATCTTCTGCAACAGCTCAGCAGAGGCTTTGCTAACGTAAGCTTATGTGTGTATTTGGTTCAAATTTTTAACTTAATAAATCACGTTAAAATTAGTAGTGATGGTCTGCGTAATAATTTTTCTTCTGCAACACTTAGGTGCTACCGTGCTAGTAGGTTGTAAGTTAGGTTCACTTGGCACCATTCTTTTATAGTTATTAAATTATCGCTTTATTTTATTATGCTATTAACTTTTATTAATAGTTATATGTTATTTATTTTTTTATGATTATTATTTTCGAGCTAAACCATTATTTTTTGTTGACCGGTCATGCTACCTTTTAAATATTAATTTCCTATTATCGAATAAGGTACTCTATAGGCAATTTTTATAGCATGAAAAGAAATTATTTTTTCTCAAATTAAAATTAACGCTTTGAAAAAGTTAAATCAAAGAGTTTTTACAAATTAGTTAAAGTATAAGCCTAAATTTTAGTTTATAAGAGAAAAGTATTTTGTTTTATCTTCTTATTTTATAAATGTTTAGGAATAAGTTTATTTTTTACGAGATCAAATGGTGTATATTTTTGCTTTTATCCTGCTCCCACTGCATAAGCTTGCATGTCAAGCTATCAGAAAAATAGCGACAAGAATGTCTAGTTTGATGTTGTTTTAACTAGTGATTCTAACCAATGACTGAACAATGCAGGCATATGAATCATTGATGAAAGCTTTTTTGGAACGTAATAAGGTACACTTTTCATCAAATGAAACTGATTATTTCCCTTTGTTTTAAATTTTAAAAACCATGTTTCTCTAACAACTCATCTCCTTCAGTTTGGAAATCTTCCATATGGATTCCGAGCAAATACATGGCTTGTTCCTCCATCTGTTGCCGAGTCTGCTTCAAATTTTGTGGCATTACCCACTGAGGACGAAAACTGGGGTGGCAATGGTGGTGGCCAAGGAAGAAATGGCGAATTTGATCATAGACCATGGGCAACAGATTTTGCAATATTGGCCTCTCTTCCTTGCAAAACTGAGGAGGAGAGAGTGATCAGAGATAGAAAAGCATTTCTCCTTCACAGTCAATTTGTTGATGCCTCAATATTTAAGGCTGTTGCGGCTATACGGCATGTCCTGGAATCAAAATCAGACATGAAGAATGAATTGAATTCTTCTCCAGGTTCTATTCTGCATGAGGATCACGTGGGGGACTTGTCCATTGTAGTCAAACGTAGCATCCAGAATGGAAATAGAAAGTATGATTCTGTTGTGGATGAATCCAGCATCCGCAAGGAGGATGCTCAGAAGAATTTGATCAAAGGGTTGACTGCAGATGAAAGTGTAATTGTTCATGTAAGTCAATAAACCGTCTTGCAATGCTATAGAATATAGACTTACATGCAGATCACACATAAGATTTGTTTTGAACTTGTACAGACTAAGCTATTCACACATAAGATACTAAGATTAAGTTTTTTTGTTTCCCCTACATTCTTGATTACAGGATACTTCTTCCTTGGCTGTTGTCGTTGTACACCACTGTGGATATACTGCAACAGTAAAGGTTGTGGGTAATGTGAACATGAAGAAGCCCAAAGTTCGAGATATTGAATTAGATGATCAGCCAGACGGAGGGGCAAATGCTCTCAACGTCAACAGGTTTGAACAATAAACAAATTCGTAAATGTTATTTGTGGATGATCTGAAAATGGTAGCACTTCTAGGTAACATAACATGATTCTATTCAGATATAACTTTAAAAGAGTTTTTGAGAACTTCTCTACTGAAAATAAAGAATTTTTCTAGTAGATAAGCTCTCAAATATTTTCTAATTTTATATTCAAACATGCTCAATGTAGACAACATTTTATTTTATCTCTCTCTATTGTTTTATGAGATTCATTGCAATTGAAGCAGTGCCATCCTTATAGATTAATATTAATAGCAAATTTGTGATGATGCTTGACACAATTTCATGATCTATGCAGTTTGAGGCTACTGCTTCACAAGTCTGGAGGTGAGTCATTAGAAAGGACTTTATCATCCGTATCAAATTCGGATGACCTAGATGCTTCTAAAAGTCTAGTTAGGAAGGTGGTTCAAGAATGCATGGAAAAGATAAAGGAGGAGCCAAGTGTTTCAAGAAGGTTTATTCGATGGGAACTTGGCTCCTGTTGGATGCAGCATTTGCAAAAACAGGAAACTTCAACAGATAACAGTTCAAAAAACAAAGAAGATGGCAATGACATTGAGCAAGCTGTCAAAGGTCTGGGAAAGCAATTTAAATTTTTGAAGAGGAGAGAGAAGAAATTAGATAATCTACATGGTGCAGATTCCAGGGAGCAAAATGACGCTACCCATAAAGTTGAGCAGAACAATGATGACTTAAGTAACTCTAATGAATTAGAGAAACTACTTTCTGAAGAAACATTTTTGCGTCTCAAAGAATCAGGAACTGGTCTTCACAGAAAGGTCTGTGGAATATTTTGAAGATTGTGATGCTTCATGTTGGTGTATTCTCATGCTGCTATTTGTTTCGCTTTTTTTTTTTTTTTTTTTTTTAAAATAAATATAACTTTTTTTTCCTCACTTTTTTTTTTTGTCTTTTTCTT